GAAACAGAAACGGAACAGTCCACGGCTTAATGCTGTTAAAACCACTGAGCATCAAGCAGTTAATGGGCAAAACTGCAGAGACCAGCACTTCCTGGAATTCACAATGAGAAATCTGTACCAGTATCCCTGTGCCAGTATTAATGCATATTCTTTCAGGGAGGGGGACCCCCCAAAAAACGTGTAGAATCCGACAGCAAGAGGGTGTTTTGTTATTTATCATTAGGGAGGTGTGATAAACAAAGTACATTCCTCTCTTTCACAACAGTAACATACTAAATCTACATGCCTATAGACATTAAATGACCATCATTGTTAGGAAAACAATAATGTAATGCACAGAAGAGTTTAACAGACCAAGGACAGTATAGACAGCTGAGGGTATTCTGCATACTGCCTAGTAGTTGTTCATTAACTGAGAGTAGTATGGGTCTTTGGAATTTCTTTTCCTTAGGTGTCCATCCCCTGTCAAATGCTTCGACTTCTATATTTTCAGAAAAATGAAAGTCTTTACATGTTTCTTCACTCACCTGGAAGGTCTTGGGACTTCCCTGACACCCGGGCACGTTTTGCTCTGTGACCAAAGGTTTCTGTTGCTGAAGTGGAGGCTCCCTGCAAACAGGAATGTAAAGACAATCTGAAATTAATGCCGACACGAAATGTTTAAAATCTCCTTTTTTAAATACTGTAACTTTTGCTTAGCTCCAAGTGTCATCTGATTTTTAACTATGTCACCATTCACATGCAGGCAAAAATTATTTTGACCGATGACACCCCCCCACACACACACACAAAAAAAAAAAAACAAGCCCTGCCAACTATATGTAAGCACTAAGACTGTTTCAATCAGAAACACCCCAATGTACAGAAGAAATGTATTATTTTCACTTCACAGTGCCCTTCACTGTGTTTAAAAGAGCACGACAAAATGTATTGATACATATGTAATGTGTGTTGGTTATTTCCCCAGTTGATTGTTACCTCCATACTGCTTTTTGTGGGACACGTGGTTCTCTTAGGCAACAAGGACTTTCTGCGGAGTTGGTACGGACTGTTTTGAGCTCCTGGACCAGATTCTTCTGCAACCATATCTGCAGGGACGTCCTCATCTGCAAAGAGGAGGGACAAAAGAAGAAGAAAAACCTCAATCAGCTTTGTATTTCACATTCTACAGTAGGACCTCTCACCCTCCACAGCTATGCTGTATAATTACAGTATATATTTCCTCTTCCTGGAGATGGGTAACCCCTTGAATAAAGCTGTCCCCCTGGGGAAAATGTCGCTCACGGTTACTGAGATGCCAACACTAGTCAAAAAGTCTAAACTAGATTAGCCATAACAGAGCAGGAGAGACGAGTAAAAATAGATGCACGCTCGCAGGAAACAACTCCAAAGCCTACAACAAAAACCACTGATTTAAATGCAAAGGGCTAGCGTTAGGAATCGCGTTACTTCATCTACAGTGGCAGACTTGATATTCTGTGTTTACACCTACCAAAAGTCACAAAAAATTATAGATTCACAATAAGAAAGAATCGATCGTATAATTGATCTGCAAATTAGATAGGACTGTCCATCAACTTGTGTCTTGACCCTAATAACCTGCTAAATGTCCAGCTTTTTTAGCATAGTACTGCACCTGCACTGCAGGATCCTCTGTGTTCATCACCTCTGTGTGTGAATGCCCTACCTACCTGGTGTACTCATCACCTGAGAGGTCTACAGTCTGTTCCTCCCTACTGCACAATTGGTACCTGGAGACAACATCCAAAATTTTAAAGATAAACAAAAATAAACAACACTCTAGTCTCGTGTACTTCAACTGCAGATCTAATCACTGCCAAGTGGTGGCAAAACATCAAAATGCTCACTCTTCTGACTTTAAGAAGTGAAGACTCCATTTCCAACAGTAAACTGTGTTTCTCAACACTGATGGAGAGAGAGAGATAAATAGACAGACAGATCTGAAGGTCCTTTTCTTCTGTAAAAAAACAACATGGTGGCAGATTTACGGCTACATATACAACACGGCATAGGATATATCTGACTACTGGATTGGATTCGCATGTGCCCGAAATGTATTTGTCGAGATGAATGAACTGACACCTGCACGCGGATCCTGTATGATATATATATTTATATCTATATTTTTTAACCCCCCCCCCAAAAAAAACAAAACACCACATTAGCTGCGATCAGAAATGAGTACCTGTGGATATCTGAGATATCTCACTCTTACAGGAAAATAGCCGAGGCTCTGCAAGCTTCGGTCGCAGAGTTATGCGAAACATCACAGGCGTGATACCAATATTCTTTAGCACAGTTGGTGCCCAGTGTAGTGCAAGTTAACACCACATGTTCACAGAATACAAACCGATCTGAAACCAACAGTGTTTCAGAAAACAATATCAGACACGACACTCACTGCCGGATCAATGCATACTTATTAACGAACATGAAAGGTGATTTTTTTTCACTCGTCACATACACAAACAGGAAAAAAAAATAATTTAAAACAGTGAATGCACAACAGACATACAGCATGGTTTCTAATCATAATAATGGACTACGAATTACTGCAACTACTGTCTGATCAGCTCAACACAGCCCTCGCAATCAACTATCCATAAAAAAAATACCTGACAAGCCCAACAATACCCACAGAGGTGTACCTTCCTGCTTACGTGTTCGTGGGCAACAAAAAAAACCCACCCACCCATCGGACTGCGATCCACGCTGGCTGTAAAGGGTTAACCCGATGATCACCCCACATAAAGTAGTCTGGAGCTGCAAGCACACCAGAGGCCTCGTCCACCGAGATGTTTAGTGAAACCATGGCGTTTCCAGTTGGCTACCTACTGTTGACACGAACCTTAATACCAACACTGGCTGGCTTGACAGTTACCCAACGTAAACAAATGCAATCCTGAAACACGAGCGATTCTTCTCTTCTCTTCTTCCCACACCCCAACCTCCCAGCACTGCTTCAGCGTGAACCCAACTGCGTAGTCGCTGGGAGCTCGTTAGCGTGATTACTCACCGGGCCAGCGACCGTGTAACCTGTGTGGAATAAAAACGGAGAATTTAAACAATGCTACAACCCACCCAGTCGCCACGGCTTCACACACACCGTGTACACTTCCGTCTTTACTCCAACGTTCAGCGGGGTATTTTGCTTGCCTGACTCTGGGTGCATACACACATAGGTAGAGAGATATAGAGAGATAGATAGATAGATAGTTAGCCAGCAAACTAGCTAGCTAGCTTTAGCTATTACTACACATACACCCCCCCCCCTTCAAAATGGCAGCCCACCGGCTAGCTAGCTAACCAGCTGCGCAACGCAGATTTCACGTCCAAACACACGTTTCTGTTGAGTTACATGAGCAGTAAAACACGCTGTTTGGTACACGTGTCCAAAACGGACTTGTTTGCTTAATCGGACGTCCGAGAGCTGAGCGACACCGCGGGGTTGTCGGTGTAATCCCAGAGTTAGCTGCGAAGCTAGTATTTGTAAGACTAAACAAAGCGCGGCCTGGCCTGGCCTGCACGGCGCGGTTTGTACGAGCCTCGACGTTTCCTGCTGAAGCGTCTCGCTCGCTGCTCGAGGCGTTTGGACAGTCGGCTCGGGTGAAAACACGCCGACGCGCCTGCGGGAGAAGATTGTGAAGGTGTGAAAGTGTGCTTGTGAGGTGGCGAGTTCAGCGCGTCTCACCTCTTTCGCCGTTGTTCCTCTCGGGCTGCACCGGGCGCGGCCTCGATACTCGCCTGGGTCTTCTGTTGGTCGCTCTGACGGAGTTCATTTGGCGAGTTGATTATGGTTTTTTTTTTGTTGTTGTTGTTGTTTATTTCAAAAACTCAACGCTTTCTTCTGACGTTCGCCTTCCGTCGTTAACATGGGGCTCCTCGATTTCAAATGAACCAACTCAACTGCGTAAACACTTCAGATTTCGCTGACGGAGAGCGAGTTTTTTTTTCCCTTTTCGGGGTGTTGGGACAGCTCCCCCTGTGCTGCTCGGTGCTGGAGCTCGGCGTCTCTCTCGCGCGCAGGAGGAGCCATTAACGCTAACGCACTCGCAGACAGCGCGCGCGCACGAGAGAGAAGGAAGGAGGGGGAGGACATCACAAGGGATCCCTCTATTCACCAATGAAACACACAGACTGCATCCGCTCACGCTCCAAATTACACTGTGCATCTTCTCTTCTCTCATTCTCTCCTCTCCTCTTCTCTTCTTCTCTTCTCTTCTCTTCTCCTCTCACCTCTTCTCTCCTCATCTTTTCTCTTCTTCTCTTCTTCTCTCCTCATCTCTTCTCCTCATCTCATCTCTTCTCCTCTCACCTCTTCTCTCCTCTTCTTATCTCTCCTCATCTCTTCTCTCCTCTTCTTATCTCTCCTCTCCTCTTCTCCTCTCTCCTCTTCTCTTCTCCTCTCTCCTCTTCTCTTCTCCTCTCCTCACCTCTTCTCTCCTCATCTTTTCTCTTCTTCTTCTCTTCTCTTCTCCTCTTTTCTCTTCTTCTCTTCTCATCTCTTCTCCTCTTCTCATCTATTTTCTTCTCCTCTTCTCATCTCATCTCTTCTCCTCTCATCTCTTCTCTCATCATCTCTTCTCCCCTCTTCTCTTCTTCTCTCCTCATCTCTTCTCTTCTCACATCTTCTCTTTTCTCTTAATAAACATCCCTGAATATCACAGAGGGTAATGATATGCATCACGTTACTTTAAAATGCTTGAGGCATACGTGATTCAAATCACGTCAGATGTTACTTTCTTTTTTTTTATTCTTCTTACAGAGATGCACGATATACTAGTATCGAGTTTGAGTATTGTCAGCATTATAAGGTGGCGCTGCTAACAAGTAATCTATTTATGTATTTAATTTATCAATCTCCTGCTGGAAAAAAACCCCAACAATACAGTTTCCACTACAAATACCATTACAAGCCATCAGTTAGCCATTAAAAGTATTGCCATTACCAATATTGGTCTTTAACGGTATCCACAGGGGGCATGGTGGCTTAGTGGTTAGCATGTTCACCTAACACTTGCAGGGTTGGGGGTTCAATTACCGCTGATGCCCTGTGTGTGCAGAGTTTGCATGTTCTCCCCGTGCTGCAGGGGTTTCCTCCGGGTACTCCGGTTTCCTCCATGCACGTATGTTGATATGTTGATTGGCATGTCCAAAGTGTCTGGGTGTTAATGTGTATGTGATTGTGCATCTGCGATGGATTGGCACCCCGTCCAAGGTGTACCCTGCCTTGTGCTCGATGCTCCCTGGGATAGGCTCCAGGTTAGAAAATGGATGGTATCCAGTAGAAGGCAACAAATTACCAGTAAAGACCCACAGGTACACTGTCCATGGTGTACCCCGCTTTGTGCCCGATGCTCCCTGGGATAGGCTCCAGGTTCCCCCGTGACCCTGCAAAGGAGTAAGTGGTAGAAGATGGATGGATGGATGGACCCACAGGGACCATTACAGTTTCTATTAAAACCAATACAAAGTCTATGAGGGTTTCTATACATTTTTCAGCAGGGTAACCATTACATAATTTTCTTTAATTGATTACTTAATTTATTCCTAAATGTTATAACCTATAAACACTAGACATGAGGCAGAAATACATCCAGAACAGGACACCAATGCACCCAAACATAACATTAATGCCTAGGAGCAATTTAGCAGAGCCACTGCACTTCCGGTACATTGTGTGTTTTTTTTTTGTTGTTGTTTGTTTGTTTGTTTGTCTTTTGTTTTTGGAGACACCAAGAGAACACTCAATACTCTGCATGCACAGTAACTGAGTTCAGGATCAAATCAGGGGCCTTGGAGCTGTGAGGTGGCAGTGGTATACTGCGCCATATTTTCACTATGGCTCTATTTTTGTCCAATAGTTTAATTTTCCTTCTGCTACATGCTTAAATTATTATGAATGTTAAAAATCTGTTTTGGTGGTAATTGTTTCACAAGTCCTGAGTAAAACGAAACACTGTGATATTTGCAAAGTATTGTGAAAAAAATCATATAAACACAGGTGCATCTAAAAAAAAAAAAAAGAATATTGTGGAAATATAGTGGAACTTTCATATATTCTAGATTCATCACACGTAAAGTGAAATATTTCAAGCCTTATTATGTTTTAATCTTGATTACAGCTTACAGCTCAGGATATTAGAATTGGAATAATGTATTATAATACAGAAATGTCAAACTTTTGAAAAGTATGTTAATTTATGCACTCAATACTTGGTCAAGGCTTCTTTTGCATGAATTACTGCATAAATGCGGTGTGGCAGGGGGGCAATCAGCGTGTGGCACTGCTGAGGTCTTATGGAAGTCCAGGTTGCTTTGATAGCAGCCTTCAGCTCATCTGTATTATTAGGTCTGGTGTCTCTCAGATTCTCTATGGAGGTCAGGTCAGGCGAGTTGGCTTGCCAGTCAAGCACAGTAATACCATGATCAGAAAACCAGTTACTAGTAGTTTTGGCTCTGTGGGCAGGTTCACAGTCCTGCTGGAAAATTAAATCAGCATCTCCATAAAGCTTGTCAGCAGATGGAGGCAGGAAGTGCTTTAAAATCTCCTGCTAGATGCTGCATTGACTCTCGACTCAAGAAAACGCAGTGGACCAACACCAGCAGATGACATGGCACCCCAAATCATCACTGACTGTGGAAACTTCACACTGGACTTCAAGCAACTTTGATTCTGTGCCTCTCCGCTCTTCCTCCAGACTCTGGGACCTTGATTTCCAAATGAAATGCAAAATTTACTTTCACCTTCCCCATGATTGTGGCGGTGTGTACTGAACCAGACAGATTAAAGGCTCAGGAAACCTTTGCAGGTGTTTTGACTTAATTCGCTGATTAGAGATCTTCTCAGGTCGACATTTCTGTATTATAAATTCTTTATTCTAAAATTTTCAGATACTGGATTTTTGATTTCCATGAGCTGTAAGCTGTGATCATCCAAATTAAAACAAAAAAAGGTTTGAAATATTTTACTTTAGGTGTAATGAATCAAGAATATATGAAAGTTCCACCTTTTGAATTAAATTACGGAAAATATAACTTGTCCATGATACACGAGTATCTCCACCACGTCTTTTCACATACACACATACATAAATATAAATATATAAATAAATAAATGAGAGCACGCGCATAGTTTTTAATAAATATATGCATTGTTGTATTGTAATGCTTCTATTCTTTTTATGAACTCTTAAGGGTTTCATTCATTCATCTTGTTACAGCTTTATCAGAGTCAGGGTTAGTGGATTTGGAGCCTATCTCAAGATCAGTGGGTGTGAGGTGAGAATACACCTTCGATGTATGCATGCATGCTTACATTTACACATATTCACACTCATGGCCAACTCACCGAGCCACCTACCAGCATGTTTTTGAGAGAAAGCCAGAGAACCGGAGGAAACGTGCATATACAACATGTAAAGCTCTGCGCAGACAGTACCCCAAGCTTAGGATGACACTGCGAACCCTGATGCGGTGAGGCAAAGCTTCCCGTAGGAGTTAATCAATGGATTATTCTGCGTTGAGGTCATTGGGGTGCTGGGAGCAGGGTCTATTGTGTTTGGTATGTTTTGAACAAAAATACATATTTCCATACCTTTGATGGACAATAAAGTGAATCTTTATCACAGTCTGCGATATCACTCTGTGCCTGAAAAGTTTACAGGCCCTTACAGAAGTGGCATAAAAGCACAACACACTGAGGATTGATGGATCACCTTGATGATCTTTGGGACTGAAAGGGAGTTGAATCCCAACCGCCAGCACATTACACAATGCCACATATAAAGTCAAATGTTCAATCCTCCAAAAAGCCAAGATCATACTGTTTCTGCGGTTCTGAAACTTTACATAAGTGTCTGTGTTTTTAAATTAACAAGTGTAGTCCAACATAGAGACGATCTGATTGTAAGATAAGGCCTATACAGAGTCTGTTCTCTTTCCTGATAAACTCGAGACCTCAATGATTATCTCAGATTACTTTTTCTTTTTTTAACTTTCAGAACTATGGTACTAATATTGTTTGTCATGTGCAACAAACCGGAAAACTTGAAATGTATAAGTGAGGCTGCATTAGCATAGAAAATAAGGGACTACAGTATTTAGAGACAGTAGTGTACTGTAGATTACATTGACATATCTTTACTATCTCCTGTATGTTTCAGTATGTCCATACTTCTACTGGATTATAAAGAATGCCTTTAAACGTCATACATTTCCAGTTCTTGCAGATCTCCACACAAACCCAGATGTGCTTTTGAAAAAAGTTTTGAAAAAAATAAAATAAAATGGAATAGTATTTGTAAATTCAGGCAGTATGATTTGATTAAGATTACATGAATGTGAAAATCTTTACGGATTATTTTTAAATTGAATATCAATTTTTAAAGTTGACAACGTATTTTAAATATAGTTTGGATATTTATTTATATATTTATTTTTACACATGCTACATCCAAGTACTTAAGTAAACTAGCATAGATTAAGTGATTTCAGCTAATGATTGGGTGCCTGATGGTGAGTGTGTGCGCTCCTTCCAAAATACAAATATGTGAAATTTGCTTGGTGGATTTGATTAGATTTTGATTTAATTCAAATTAAAGTTAAACCCACTTATATTTCAATTTAGCTTTATAAAAATCTAATTCCTTGCAGAAATATTCCAAAGTTAGATTCTTATTCTGTGAAATGAATCAAATTAATTACGAGGGTACTTTCATTCATTTATCTTCAGTAATTGCCTTATTCTGGTCAGGGTCGCCCTGTATATAATCACTGATGTATGATTCTCCCACTAGATGGCAAAATTTCCTTGATTTATTCTCTACAATGCAGCACTGTTGGAGTGAACATAAACTAAACCATCTTCCAAGACAACCAAAATCTTCCTCACATAAAAATACCCCAGAACATTCTGTAATAGATGCTGTTTGAAGGAAGCAACCAAAACAAACAGGCAGAATACAGTACATCTTTACTAGGAAAAACACTGAAACACAAAAGGACACAAATCTGAAACAAATTGAAAGAACTAAAAAGTTATTTTTAGAGTATTATACACATGGAAGGTGAAACATTTCACAACAAGCCTTATTCCAATGTAGTTTTCACATTCTCAGTACGTGAAACTATCTTATTAACAAAGGCATTGTTGTGGGAGACCACCTCTGCCTTCAATTTGTGCAGCTCCGCTTTGATAGCATCATCAGTCATGTCCTGGAAAGGAAGAGCCTTCACCTTCATTAGGAAATCCTCAATGATCTTCTCACCATCCTATGGGTTAATCAACAGGAGGAAAAAAAACCAAAAAACAAACAGAGGTTTTGCAGATCATCGAAGAAATTACAGAGAATATACAATAAAAAAAAACTATGATTGCCTCACATTTCTCTCCAAGCAGCGCTTTTTAGCTTCAGGTCCAGTATCCTCGTCAGCCCCGGAGATATCCTGAAACTCCTCAAGCTCCAAAGCCTTTTCCCGAGCATAAGCAATGACATGTTTGGGGAAGTTAGCCATCTCAGCCACATGAATCCCAAAGCTCTGGTCACACACACCTGATCAGAGGGCACATCCGGACATTAAATACACAAGATACACGAGTCAAAGACAAAACGGATTTTGTAATACGTCATGTGATAATTTCTTGCCTTTACAATATACATTAGGGCTGTATAATTTGTACTGAATTGATACAAATCATACAAAAACTCCACAGATTTGAATTAGATGGCAACAAAAGCACCAAATTCTCTATATTTTGCTGTTATTTTTTGTTTATCTGTAAGCCGTTTTTCAAGAACAGTAAGAATAGTAAAAATACTACTATAAAATACTACAAGGTGTCTACAAGTCATACATGGTTTGACAAATTTGACAAAAGAAATTGAAATCATTCTCATGGCCCGATCCGGAAGCTGTCACAAGGTTGTGATGAACTTTAATAGAAAACACGATAGGCACATCACACACACGACACTGCTGCCAAACATAACAACAACAAAAAAAAAGACTGGAAGTGCTGTGGACCTATCGAGACGAACATCCACTGATGC